CAGCTGCACTGGTTCCAGGCTGAATACCAGATCAGGTTCAGTGTTCTGCTGTTAACCTTTAAGGCCCTAAACAGTCTGGGACCAGTGTATCTACAGGACTGCCTCTCCAGAGCATTACGCTCTGGGGAGAAGAATCTTCTGGTGATCCCTGGCCCAAAAAATATCCGGCTGTTCTCAACCAGAGCTAGGGCCCATTCAACCCTGGCACCAGCCTGGCGGAACTGTCTGCCAAATGACATCCGTGCCCTGCAGGGCCTAGCACAGTTCCACAGGGCCTGTAAGACAGAGATGTTCCACCAGGCCTATGGTTGAGGACAGCAACAGTTTCCAGCAACGGCTTTTTCCTCTCTCCTCCTCCCCCACAGAGTTAGGGCAAAATTGGTCCATTAAGCACCATCTGTACTAGTTACAGAATTGTTTAGATTGCTTTTATTCTGAGTGAAATAATAAGTAAAAAAATCTCAATTGGCTGCCTCACAAGGCAGATTAGGCTAAATACATAGCTTGGGGGGGGTTTGCCTGCTTTAGGGCCCCCTAACCCACTGGCCCAGATCCAGACAGTAGGGGGAACCCTGTGCCCAAAGTAATGGGATCGTGACAACGTGCCTGGTGTGGCATCATCATGCCAGGCACATTGCCGGGGGGGACGGGGACGTTCTAGTACTCTGCCTAAAAACCTCTATGGTACCATAGAGTTTTGGGCCAAATGCTAGAGCGTCCCCCTAGCAACGTGGACATTGCTTCTGGGTGACATCATCGTGGCGCGTGTGCCAGAAGATCCCAACAAAGAGGTTCCATCCCCCCACTGGCAGCAGGTAGGGACCTGGCAACCCTATAAATACATATCTGGAATTCTTATGCTGCCTGTGTGAGAGCAGTGCCTCTCAAGAAATGGACAGGCAAACAAGGAATAGCTTTGACCTTCTTCCAGGAAAGAACTTGCTAATGGACATATATGCAGAGTGACAACCATCCAGAATTAGAAAATATGGCTGAAACAGGCCCAACAGATTTCTGTGGCTCTCTTTCTTCAGCCAAAGGATGTTGGTTCCAAATGATCTGTTTTCTGTTTAAATCCACTGGAAATATTTTATAGCGTTGTCAAAACTGCATGCCTCAGTTGGCTTCAGTTGGATAGCTCTAGAGTATGTAAGTTGTGAATTGTAGCCATATACTGTACCATTGACTGGAGAGCCGTCCCAAAAAGGCTTTTCTCTTTTCCATTGCAGTGGGTGGCTGTGAGCACACACATACT